CACAAGGGAACCTCAAATAATGATAGCTGCAGGCAAACAAAAAAAAAAGAAATGAGGGTTTCTAAAATCATTGAAACAACTGTCAACAAAGTCATTTCATTGAGTATTTGAATATTTGCCCAAGAAGAAATCCCCTTAAGACTTACATCAGAGCAATATATTTATCTACAATTCTACTGACTGAACAACAAAAAAGGGATAAGGCCATAGAAGTGAAAATTCAGAGCAAATGAGGAATGTAATAAGCATTGTGTGTTTACTTGTTAAAATAAACAAACACAAGTCAGGAAAATATCAGAAAAGTGGTCACTTACATTTGCAGTAAAGAATTTTTGTAGTCAAAGTTAAAAGAAAGTTTGGCTATTTAAAAGAGATGGAAAGGGGCCTCCCTGGTGGCCCAAACGGTTAAGTCTCAGCACTAGGAAGCTATGTCTGTCTGCAGCCAGTGGAGCAAAGTGAAACCCCAGCGAGGGAGTTAACCAACATGGCAAAACAAACTGCTCTTAACTCACTCTGCTCCTCTCAGCAGTACATTTCAGCTAATCTGACTGTTCTGCTTCCCACTGTCTCTGGTGAATCCTCTCATCCCTGTCACCTCAGGCCTACACCCTAGTTCCTATATGCATAAATAAATAAATCTTTTAAAAAAAGCCCAAATATTCATTAAATAGTATGGTGCAGTCCCCAAAATTATCATGTAAAAACAGATGATGTTAAGCTGTATCTACTTTATTTTAATCACTTTTAATGCATAATGTTTTGTCCTTTCCTAAAACACCTCTTTACCAAAGGAAAAAAATAGGTAAGCATTTAAAGTTTCTAACTATTAATAGTTGACAGCAGTTATTAGTCAAAATTCATTTTATGCAGGATAGTGTCATGTAAATTAATGCATTCCACAGCTAGTTTTTTTTTAAAAAAGATTTATTTATTTATGCATACAGAACCAGAGTACAGGCCAGAGGTGCCAGGGGTGGGGGTGAGCAAATTCACCAGAGACAGAATGGGAAGCAGATCAGGCAAATCAACAAAGTACACTGCCGAGGGGAGCAGCAAGTGGGACAGGAGAGGTCTGCCATGTCATGAGGGTCAGCTCCCTAGCCATGGACTTAACTCATGCTGCCATGGCTGAAGACAGCTTCATAGTGCTGTGCTTTAACCCGTTGTGCTGCCAGGGATGGCCCAGTCCCACAGCTAGCTTTCTATTATTTTTCTATTATTATGTTTTCTATTTAGAAGTCTTCACACATACTCATTTAAGTTTTCTTAATAGTACTCATTTTTCTTGATAGCTATGGTCCAAAAAAGCAATGACTCATACAGCTATAGGTTCCTAGCTAGGCTACCACCCAAAAGGTAATTCCCTCTCCTCAGAAACTAGAAGTAAGAAAACACAGTATTGTGTTATGAAAAACAGTGTTCCAAAAACACATTTGATGTAATTTCAATCTTCATAAATCAATGGAAACATTTTTTAGTGTCCTAACATGTGTTTTATTCTTGAGACTGTTTCAAGAGCAGTAAGAAATAAATGTGCATCTGGTGCTTTATAGTGGAATGTGTAAATATCCATTAAGTTCCTTTTTTCCAGTTTGCCATTTAAGATTACTGCTTCTTTGGTGATTTTTGTGTGGATAATCTGCCCACTGCAAGGGACTGTTAAAACTCCCCTGCTGTTACAGTGTTGCTATCAGTATCTTCCTATAGGTCTACTAGTATTTACTTTATATATTTCAGTGCTGCTATAGTGAGTGTATATATATTGCTATACTGATCCCTTTATTGTTATATAATGTCGCTTTTTTTTCTTTTGGACTAGAAATCTATTTTATCTGATGGAAGTATAGCCATTCTGGCTTTTAAAACTCTAATGACTTGTGGGGCCTCCCTGGTGGTGCAAGGGGGTAAGTCTCAGCGCTATGAAACTATCTGCAGCCACTGCAGCATAAGTTAGGTCCCCAGCCAGGAAGGTGACCTACATGGCACAGCAGACCTCTTTTGTAGTGCCAGCTGCTCCTCTCAGCAGTACATTTCAGTAGATCTGCCTGTTCTGCGTCCCACTCCATCTCTGGTGAATCCTATTACCTTCCTACATCTCTGGCTACCACAGATTTTGTATATATAAATAAATAAATCTTAAAATTCAGTAACTGAGTAGGAATTTCCATCTTTTAGCTTTGAATCATCTTTATCTTTATAGCGCAATGAGTCTCCTGTAAGAAATGTATAGTTCAGTTTTGCTTCTTAATCCATTCAGTCACTCAGCCTTTTGATTGATGAATTTAGTTTATGTACTTTAAGGATGACTGATTTATGAGGGCTCACTATTGCTGTTTTGTTTTTATTTTCCTGGTTCTGCATATCTACTTATTTCTTTGTTCAATATGCCATGCACCCTTCATTTACATAGAAGAGCTCCTTTCAACATTTCTGAAGAGAGGTTTAGTACTGGCAAACTAATTTATATTTGCAATCACTGAAGAGAGTCTTATAGGATATAATATTCTTGGTTGGGAGTTTTTAACCTTTGGGAATTTTAAATTCATCATTCCATTCTCATTCCATTCTCTCCTTGCTTATAGATTTTCTGCTGAGAATTCTGATTGGAATAACATTATAAGCTACTTGCTTTTTTTCCCTAGACATCGTCAATATTCTTTGCCTTAAATTCTTGATCATTTCACTACTGTTTTTTTCTTTTTTAAGATTTATT